TTTTTCCTTTCTTTCTTTCTATATTCTTCTCTCAACTTCTGTTTTTGCCTTTCACTACCTACTCCTAAGGCTATCTAGAGGGGACCCCTGCAAGCGTAGTTTCCTCTCACTGTGAAGGGGAGATTTCATGTTGCCCATTGCCCCTAATGTTTAGGGTTTAGGGTTGGGGCCGCCAGTGGGGGTCTTTACCACAGCTTTACCTCCTCTTTTCTGTTCTTTTTTTTTTTTAACCTGTGTGCGAGTCTTTAATGAAGTTCCTACCACCTTTGGGCTGAGTGACATATCCTTGCTCTTCTACAGTTGAATGTGTCTGACGCGGACGTCCTCCCTATCCTTGGTGCATGTGTACACTCGATTGGGGAGTGCTTTCTAGTTTCCACTTCCTTGCGTGCACACTACTACACGTCTTGCAGAGTGCCGAGGCTTGTGACGAATTTCGCTTTTCAAAACTGCGAAAACATCAGTCAAAACTAGTTCAAAATATCTATGTATCCTAATCGTAAGTTGAGTTGGAGAGCCGTATGATACGTGACTATCTCGTACGGTTCGGAGAGGACTCGAGTAATCACCAAGGGTGTGAAAGTTTCAGGGCTGAGTGACATATCCTTGCTCTTCTACAGTTGAATGTGTCTGACGCGGCTGTCCTCCATATCCTTGGTACATGTGTACACTCGATCGGGGAGTGCTTTCTAGTTTTCCACTTCCTTGCGTGCACACTACTTCACGTCTTGCAGAGTGCCTAGTCCTTTTTTTTTTTAATCCTCATTTCTGAACATCAAGTCGTTCGTTCACTTGAACGGCCCAGTATGAACTTGGCCATTGTAGGCTCCTCTGCTTCTTTGGGCCCTGCTGTCATATTACCCCCACAGCAATACAGAATCTACAGCCATTCCCGGTTCCACACCAAGATGTTTGTCCCATCTGTCGGCTATTGCTTGCTGTGGACTTGCTGACTACGATATTCAAAAATTTTGGATTTATTTTTAAGATTGAGAACATTCTCAATTAACTAGCTTCTCTTTTCTTGCAAGCTATGTTGACAAGGGAAGAGTCAAGACCCATCTGCAGGCAAACAGTGCTATAGGAATAGAAATAAGAGCCACTAAAAGGGAGAAGGGGAGAAAATCATTAGCAAGGGCGGGAGCGCCAAAGCGTACACAGCCACAATTTAAGGACCTTCCTCCAGGCAGTCTGCTTTGTTTAATTTCCCTTACCTTAAGGGAATAGCGGGTCTGGCGCCACGCTCCCGCCAGGCCCGGCTGCCACTCTTGGGAACGAGTCGGGGACACCAGGGATGGGCCCAGCAGACACCCGGGGCGTCGTTTCCCCCCCCCCCTCTTTTGCCTAGCGCCATGACGTGGGGAGACACACCGGTCATTCGTATGAGACTGAATCTGCTCTGGAACATGGGGAGATACACAGGTTCCCTTTTGTTCGTTTGTTTTTTCGTTTCTTTTTTTTTTTTGTCGTTTTGCCAGTTTCCTTTCGTTCGTTTCTTTCCTTTTTTCTCTTTTCTCTGTCGTTTTGTGGGCCCGTTGTTTTCGTTTTGGCCTGAGGGCCTCTCTGCACTGCTCTCCAAATGTGCAAATGAGACTGAATCCACTGCTAGAACACGGAGAAATACATTGCCATCATTTTTGTCTTTTGCGCACGTGGAATTCCTCTTTTGCCTAGCGCCGCGACGTGGGGAGATACACTGGTCGTTCGTATGAGACTGAATCTGCTCCAGAACATGGAGAGATACACAGGTCCCCTTTCGTTCGTTTGTTTCGTTTCTTTTTTTTTTTTGTCGTTTTGCCAGTTTCCTTTTGTTCGTTTCTTTCCTTTTTTTTTCTTTTTCCTGCAGTTTTGTGGGCCTGTTGTTTTCGTTTTCACCTTCGCCTGAGGGCCTCGCTGCACTGCTCTCCCAATGTGCAAATGAGACTGAATCCACTGCTAGAACACGGAGAAATACATTGCCATCTTTTTTGTCTTTTGCGCACGTGGAGAGCAAGGGTCATATTTGCTAATCGAGGGGGACGTCGCACAGCTGCGAGTTCACGCACCTTTGTCGGACACGGAAAAGTGTCCGACAAAGGCGGTGGGGACGAACGGGATGAGCGGGAGGGGGGG